AAGCCTGTAGCGTTGCATGAATCAAGTTGTCTCTAGTGCCACAGACACCTTTGTCTAATTGAATGATGAAATACAGGAGCTACTTACTAAACCTGAGGAAGCAGAGCTGATACTGTGAAAGCTGAGCTTTAATCACATCACCCTAGAATAACTTGATGAGTAGTCAATAATAAAATTCTCTTGTTCTTTCCAAAGTTCAGCCACAGAACTTAAACTCCTGTGTAATCATCAGGAAAAAAAGCTTTTGTCATGATGATACCATTCTTAACACAAGCTTCCTGCAATGGTAGAATTGGCCTGAGAACTGAGTGCATAAATAGCCTTGCAGTTTTGTAATCTTTAGAATTTCATGAATTGCCTATTCAACTGTCTCCCTTTACAAGGCTGCTCTCATTTGACCTCACTGACCCTATTCAGTTGCTTCATTCACAAGCATAAAGGCTTCTGTTTCAGAGCAAGAACTGAAGTATTTGTCTAGCGGCCTGCTCTAGAAGCAGAAATACTCTAGAACATCCCAGGTACTTCACAAAATACAATCCAGTATGAAGCCCACAGAAGAGAAACAGCTGTGCTGAAGACCCTGTGTTCTTTAAGCTCAGGAAACAGCCTGATTTAAATCTCCTTGCTAAGGAAAAGAGCCCTTTTCACAGCATCAGAATCTCTAGGACAGAAAGAGCTGTCAGATATCAATCAGTCTATCTTCAGGGACTTTACTTTTTGCACGCCAAGATTCCACCCGCATAACACCACCACCACCTTAGGTTAATCATTACTGAAGTCAGTCATAAGGCCAGTGACCATGTGTTCTAATGGGTTAAAGCCCAAGATCTTCCCATTTAGCTGAGGTGGAAGGGAAGGGAATCTGGACTTTCTAAATACTACAGGGGAGAAAGCTTTTGCTTGGACACAAGTGACCTATAATGGCAAAGCACATGGCTAGTGCTTGCAGAGAGACATCCACAGTCAGGGTTGCACTAAGGCCCAGCTGCCACTCCTACCTTAGCGATAGGGACTGGGGAGCACAAAGGAGAAATCATGTCCTCCATCTACCACCCATGAAAGCAACAGGGGGCCACTCCCTCCATTTGTCACCTGTTGTACTCCAGTTGCTCCAAGGAGAAGATGTGTTTGTTGAAATATTCCTGCAGTTTCTCATTTGCATAGTTAATGTTAAACTGCTCAAAACGATTCACCTGTAAGAAGAAACAAAGATTATAAAACTTCACATTCTTGTCCCTGGGGTCTAAAAGAATCTATAGCAGCAACTGGGAAGGTGCCAGTCCTGGAATAAAGCCAGAGAGCATAGAGGCAAGGGGTGTCAGATGGACATGAGGAGGACAGTATGGGCAGGTCCACTAGGAGAACAGCTTTTGTAGTTCATCATGCAAGGTTAATTCAGTAGGCTGAAATAGTAGTAAAGGATGCTAAAGACAATCAAATTTCTTGTCTTCATAGGAAGAAAGAAATACAATTCCCTAAGTGTTAGGTCACTGGGCTTTCTCTTCTGTGAAATATCTGAGCAGTCATTATACAGCTGTTCAACATACATCCCCCATCAGCTGCAACCAGAAGCATTACACACAGGATTCTCAAAACAAGGCAAAACAGATGTAAGCAAATAATGTGCACATAGGAGTTGGACTTTTAATTTGTATATAAGTCAAAAATTCAATCTTACCTATCAGAGCACATCTGCTTAGGGTTTGTGACACAGACCCGACCTTGAATATCAGCCTACATGAATACAGGTGGCAGAAATGGACAGCTAAATATATCTTGCTGCTCCCAGAGGGAAGGGGCAGTGGAGGAATTCCAGAATTACCTATGCTAACCTAAACAGGATACAAAACTACCAAAATTCCTTCCTATATGCACTGACATCTCCAAAACCAACCCACCCTGCAAAACACAAAATCCTGACCTGAAAGTTCTCGAAGCCAAAGATATCCAGGATGCCCACAGACTTAAAGTTTTCCTTGCCTTTGATTTTCGTATTAATCTTGCTAATGAGCCATGAAAAACACTGGGAATACAGCGCCATGGAGAGGGAATCTCTGGAGTCAGCTGCCTGTAAATGCAGAGAGAAAAAATGAGTCACAGGGAGAAGAGAAGGCATAAGGAGCACTATGAATCTCAATGGGACTTCAGGTTCCTCTACTCCTGTTTAGATATCTCAGCCTCTGTACTGGTTGTGTATGGTGCAGTATTTATACATACAATCAACATTCAAGTGTGTTGGCCCAGCCACACACAGATATATCATGTTTGACCTTTGCATAACTGAACTTGAGAGGCTGAAGGAAGTAGCAAAATCACTGACATCTTTTGGAGTAAATGCTGGGGCAGGGAAGGTGGCAAAATTCATTTTGTATCACTGGAGTCATTTGTATCACTGGAGCCAACATCTGCAGTGACAGGCAAGATATCTTGGTTCAGTACTCCTAGCAGAGCTGTCAAATGGGTGTCCACTCAGTTTTTCAAAAACTGGTAGGGCAGGATTTAATAGAATATTCTGTCACCAAGTTAGCCTCAAAAATCCCCTCTCCAAAACTTTCCTGCAACAACATTATCTTATTGTAAGCCAGGGTAGGCCGGCAAACAGCCAGGACACATGCCCCAGAAGAGCATGGGTTGAGACACCTTTCTGGAGCTGACCCACTATCCTATGCAGCAGTCATAACCAAGTGTCAGAGGTGGAAAAAATAACTTAAATTGTGATCACTAACAGGCAGTAGATAATTTGGTGTATATAAGTGTGTGGATGAGTGTCCAAAATGGAACTTTTGAAATCTCCATCAAAAGCTACTTGATAGCTGTAACAGGAATGGGCTGGTCATAAGTTTTGATAACACTTAGACTAAACAAAAGTGGCACATCCCAAATCCTCCAATTAATAGAGAGACATGAGACAGAACCACAAATTAAGAAGCTGATCTCATGCTGTCCTTCTGTATATACACTATTTAGAATGGGAAACCAGAGCTTAGCATTCTGGAAAGAAGAGGATGCAAAAATTAAGGGTTCCCATAGACATGATCCCAAAAAGTAGAAAAAGGGGCCAGGAAAGAAGGCAGCAAAGATCTCGTGTGGAAAAAAGATGCTGGAAGTGTGGAAAGATCCTGGAGATCAGAGACATGTGGAGACAAAAGTCAGGGTATGCCCAAGGACCTTGGCTGGTAATTCCAGAGATTGGTAACTGCAAGGAGCTACCCGGTATGAACAAACAAAACTTTCTGCCCGACCCTCCTGGACAAACAGCACTCTCCCTACTGGGAAAGGTAGTTGACATCTAAGGAACATAATGCTGAGGGGTGAATGAGCAAGTATGTGAAATAATCAAGTAGGGTAAAAACTATAATCTTGTAATTTCATAAATAAACCACAGTACCTAGATCAATTACGGATTGTTTACTCTGTTTCGCCTGTGACACCAGGTTAATTCCTTCAGTAGGCCTGAGAGCAATGACAGAGATCTTCTAAACGCACCCTCATCCTCTTCAGTTTTGCAAGCCTGAATAATGCGACCTCTCCTGTTCTGCTTTGCTAATTCACAAGCCAACTGCCCCTGAATCCTCCCAGCAAGCTCCTGGGAGCCAGCCTGCAAGATCCTCACCAATTCACCCAATATCGGTGTTTTCCTCCTCCTTTCTCTTCTTGGGTAGTATCCAGCAGCCCAAGGCCTAGGACATGCAGCAACCTCCCTTCTCCACAGAAGAGAACGTTTCAAAGCATGGGCACACACGCCTTTTCTGGGTATTCCTTCTCTCCATCAGATGGTCTGTCTTATTAGTGGGACTGAGAATGCCCTCAAGGCCATGCCTCTGTACTGTCTCTGCCTACACAGTAAGGTGGACTCATTTTCCAGGAACAGGACCTCCCCCTCCAGCTGTAAGCAAAGCTGCTTTGCCCACAATATGGCTCAAATGAGATTCTCAAAGGCTCCTTTCATCCTCCCAGCTTTGCCCGCCTTCAGGCCAGTTCATCCATTCAGCCCACTGAAATGTCAAAGCTCAGATGGGCAACGAGCCCGTTACACAATGAGAAATCCCTGGCAGCTCTATCAATGTGTTCCTGGAACAACAATTGGGAATAGGTGGGCACAGCACATGAGGGCTTAAACAGAAACTGTCTTTAGAGGCCCAGTGTTGAGTTCAACAGGTTCACCTGTTCACCTGTGAAGACAGCTAAGCAGTAGCATCCACTTGCTATAACAATTTTTTGCAGTCTTAGTACTTCACTGGGCTGCAAGCAGTTAAGTGTAGGGTCCAACACACACAAATGGCAGGAATAGCTATACTACCAGGGAAAGCTCTGATGAGGGAGACTCTTGTAAATCCAACAACTCTGCACCGCTGCTCTGGACTGCATGGAGTATCTCTGGCACTGTTATCCATCCTTGTGCACTGATACAGAAAGATGCGGCTTATTTAGGACAGACAGCTGAGAAAAGGAACTGTGGTACTGGATACTGAGGATATCTACTACAGACTACAGGCTGAAAAATAATTGTCACATAGTTTTATTGCAAAGAAGGGTCACAGATTATGAAAAAAGATACCATTTCTTAAGGGCAAAGCTTAGTTTGTGATATATTAGCAGGTGTGTTTGCAGCAAGAAAATAAGCAACTAGTCTGCTGAAAAGAGCACTGCTGAGACCCCAGCTTGAATACAGTGTCCATTTATAGGCACTCCACTTTTTGAAAGATGTGGGAAAACAGAAACAGAAGAAGAGGTTTAGAAAATTACTTATAAAGAAACATTGAAGGAACTGGATTGTTTAGCTTAGAAAAGGGAACACCACGTGAAAAACTTCACAGAAGCGGAAGCTTATAAGGTGGACAGCTGGGATGTCAAAGGTAATCTAAATATGAGGAAAATCGTTTCAGCTCCAGACTCCACTGCAGCTACAGCAGGATACTTAGAGGCTGTGAAATTCCTTCCATGGGAAATCTGAAGGAAAGTCAGACAGACATCCGTCAGAGAGCGCCTAGCAACTCTGGTTTCTCTGCCAATGTAGGGGTTGGATTGATAACTCTCTGCAGTCTATGCCAGCGCAAGGTTTCCATTACAGATGTTCACTTTGCTATAACATGATACTTATTCCATCCTAGTAATATTATTCCTTGTTTCCCAGTGTCTTGCGTTTTATTAATGACAGATTTTCTACAGTTATCTGTGTACATACATAAAACACCAAGAGTGCCCTCAAGTGACCAGCAACACCACAAGTTAAAGTTAGTAGGCACAATACTGTAATGAACCACAGAGAAATGTAATAGATAATCAGGACTGGCTCCAGTGCGCAGTACAGATTCAGAAGATGAGAACTGCTTATCAGTTTATTTGGTCCTCCTTTGCTGTTGTATGGATACACAAAGAAGCTACTGTGGGGTAACAACCTACCATCTGCCAGATGTTTCATGGCAACTGCGTGCAAGCTTTTATCTTCCAGTAAATGCAGCGTAAACTGGGAGTTCTGCAAGGTAAAAGCATGCACACATGCAATTAACACAAACTATCTGATGTACCTTCTGCATGACATGAGCATGACCAATTCCTGATGAGTGAAGTTGACTTAAAACCAGTATTGTGCATTGCCATTTGCAAATGAACTCCCCTGTAAAGCCTAAAAAGCAGAGTCAACACTGGGACCTGAACTACCAATAAGGGCAAAATACTGGAGGACACAGCTGAGCACCTAGGGCTTGTAAGAGGAAACCCTAAACTTGAAAGGATGATACCAGAGGGTAACAAAGGGTCTGGAAATGCAGAAGTGGCAGAAGCAGTAGCATACACTAGGACACTTACCTGCTCTACAGTGAGAGGGGAGCTGATCTCTTCCCCACGCAGAATCATGGACCTCTGTGTCAGTACTTCGGAAAGCTGGAAAGCATCTAAGCCCAGGAGGTCACTGGCAATGTTGAGCACTAATAACAAAGGAGGACGCACTTTTTTTCTCCTGCATGGATTCCCACCACATGGGAGATCCATATTCTGCAGCTCAGTGAGGAAATCCCAGGGACTCTTACAAGGCAAGTGACTAAGCCCCAGCACAAAACACACTCCCCTTTTCTTAATTCTCTTAGAAATACCCAAAGCTGTAAACTCACAAATCCAGTCTAAGGCAGGGTCAGCAGCCGTTATGGGCCACAGTCAGACACTCATATAAGTCAGTCTTTCTGCTGACAACAGGAAGAGCAAAGCACTGTGTAAAGCTCAGCACCAGCAAAATATTTATTGATTGAGAAAACATGTTTTCCTAAAGGCATAATAGTGTAGTCTGAGTGTGGGATTGCTAAACTTGGATGTCAAGAAGAGAGGCAATTAACTTAAGACTTGAAGCATCTGTAATATATATTTATGCTTCTGTCTGTTTAGGGATTCACTTTACCAGACCAGCTAAGATTGGATAACCGTAATAGAGTGCGTACTAGCAGATGCTTCAAAGGAAGATGGGGGAAAGTCTGTAACAGACTACTTTTATCTCAAACTCCTCCAAGTTCTTATTTCTTCCCACTCATTCAACACAAAAGAGAAACTGTGAGACTGTGGACTCAGTCTGAGAGTATCCAGGAGAACAAATGGATCACAGGGCCACAGTCCAACTAAATCATACTGGCGCTCTGGAGCCCTGCATCCTGTGCCAATGCTTTTGCAGGGTTAAACTGCATGGAATCTGCTGGCAAAGGCATTGCAGATCAGCATAGCAGAGGGAGAAAGGACAATGGAGTGAGATTTGTTGGGGGCCTTATGGGGCTTTCCATGGTCTACCAAGTCGCTAGGGTCCCACTTACCCGCTTTTGTTGTAATCTGGGCCCCGCCAGCTGTCATGAATTCAACGTTTCCCAGATGAAGCGTGCCAGAAAGAAGTTTGAAGATGTCTCTGATTTCTTCAGTGCTGAAGTCCACCACCTTCATAGCAGTCTGTGCAAAAGCATACAGCTAATGCTGTCTGTATGTACAGTCACAGTACAACGCAACCACCACACTCATGCCCAGTCCATATAAGATGTAAAACTTTGATTCATGATGACTATAATTCCAAGTGAAACTGGGGATGGCACAGCCCCTCTCTCAGCTATACATCTATCAATGATGTCTCCCATTCTCTCCTTCATTTACCCTATCCCCATCTAAGGCAGGTGGACATTTGCCCTATCCTTAAGTTGGACCCTGCTGCTGCCATTGCCTGTCACAGGGAAGAATGTGTTTGTCTGTGCCTGTGCGAGGAAATCCTTTCCTGAACATTGGCAGTGCAGGTTACAGATGCTACTGGACTACTTCCACATTCTGCCTTATTGTCTTCCCTTGAAGGACAGATGCACATAATTTACTTAATTTACTCTGATCCATATAACCCCCTTAATTTACTCTAGCTTAGAGAAGTAAAGATTTATGCAGCAATGTTTATATCCAGGCGTTCAGCATTCACTGACAGAAGGTTAAAAACAGGTTGCCAGATAATGAGGAAGTATGGCACACTCCCTCTGTCTTAGTGCATGCATGTGAGCCAGGGTTCTTGGGGCATAAATTGAGAGGTAGGACGTAGTTTTCATGCATTTGCCCTGTCAGTGGGGCACTCCAGGGTTCTAGTTCCTTTCTTTCCTCCAGGCCTCTCCACAGCTGAAGTATAAATACCACGTCGCCATTGAAACCTCTGTTGTACAGGAGACATTTCCTTCCCTTAAATCACACCTAAGCAGGAGCTATTGAAATTAGCCTAAACTGACTCCTCTCACCTTGCCTGTCTGGTTTCACCTACATTATTAAAGCCCTCAGGCCAATAACCACTTATCAAACAAGACATGAATTGCATATTCATCCTGCTAAACCCATAACCTCTGGTAAAGTTACAGATGGTTATTGAAATCTGTGTGGTATTTCAGAATATACCATTTGCACAGGTGATACAAGTTTACCAGAACATTTCTGGAGAACACTACCTTCAGACCAAACTGTTCCCCTTCTAATGGTCAGTGTGAGGTTTCCTGCATCAGGCCATCTAGGGGGCTCCCAGAAACCATTATGGGGTGGGGAGGTGGGGGTCCATGCTCCCCAAAGTCTCCATCATTCTAAATTATTATTCATCCTTGACTGTTTTCCAAATGCCCTCATTTCTGTACGCTAAAAACACTCTTTGAGCCTTGTTTTTACCATAAACAGGTGGAGCTGAGTTTCAGACTCATTGAACACCAAATATTTTGACTTAGGGCAAATAAATTCTGCCTGCAGCACATTTAGCCCATAAGATTGTGCCCAGAAGTTCAGGAGGAGTTAAGACAGGACTCACCATGACCTTACTGAACATCTCTATGTCATTCAGGTTCTCATCAGTCACACAACCAGACTGATTCAAGTAGCGATAAGTCTCTGGCTCAGAGAGGGAGAGGCTCTCTGTAACAGAGGAAAAAGAGGCAGGGAGGAGAAAGACAACAATTTATTCAGCAGTCAGCCTTTTCATTCTTCGTCCCCCAGAACAGTGTGTATGTTTACCATAGGGAGAGTTCATCTGAACAGATTCCATATCCCTCAAAAGCCACACCTAGACAGTAAATGAACAGGGGAAGGGGAAGAGGAGGGTACAAAGCTTACAGATGGTATGCAAAATGACTTAGAACAGTCAAATCCCAAGCTGCAGAGTCGTAGAAGAATATTTCAGTACTGAATTGACTCAGGAAATAAAACAAAACAGAGATTAAATTGAATCTCATAAAGTGTACAGAAAAATAGTCTTAACTATACACATACAGGAATGACCTCTAAATTAGGTATCACCACTTGAGATAGAGTTCAGAGAGTCACAGTAAGATTTCTGAAGGTACCATCTCAGCACTGAGTAGCAGTCAAAAACTGAAACATTTGAGTTCCTTCAGTTTTAGAAGGAACACATAACTAAACATAAAACCAGAATTAGGTCTCTGTACCTATATGTAGCACAACCACATCTTAAATACTATCTGCAGTTTTGATCCCCCATTTCAAAAAGGATAGAGGAGAACTAAAAGATTTATGGAAAAATGAGACAAGGATGATTAAGAGACAAAAACACATTACAGATGGGGGAAGTGAAGCAGCCTGGGACACCAGTTTGGAAAGGGAGGTGGGGAAGAATAGCAGAGATCTGCTGAAGAAAATAATCTGTTTTGTTTGCTTTCCCTAAGTACATGTTGATAAATGCGGTCCCCACTATTTCCCTTTGCTTGAGATAGATCTCTGAATTGACCCATGTGGCCATCCCTGCATGTACTCCCTAGAACTGAAGGCCGACTTCCTTGCACTCTGTGTCAGGCCCAATTCTTCCATCTGACTAGTCTAACACACACAGAACAAAGGCATAAAAAATGTCTCCAGTCCCTCAAAAACAAAGTGCAACTGTAACATGTTCCTGCCTGCCTATCCTGCTTCTTCAGCAAGACCATCAATGCTCAGCAGTGCCCGGGGCAGGTACACACAAATGTTACTAAGGGGGTACTGCACCACAAAGAGGATTCTTCCACAGCCTGCAGCTGCCACTTTTCTCTGCGTGCCCTCTTCCAGACCCACCTCTCCCTTCCCCATGTACAGAGCTATAAACCCTTTGTTCAGATACTAGACACATTTTGACTCTAGTCCGGCCACTACATCACTGGTCTTTTGAATTCTTATCTCTCCTATTACCTATACTGAAGGTTTTTTGTAAAAGCATGTCTGTCAGTCCAACCTTTGAACTCCTTGAACAGCTCCCATCAGCATCTGAATCAAGATTCTTTACCCTTCCTTTGCCTCTAGCCAGTTTCATTATCTCATCTCTCTATACCCCCTTCTTCACTTCGCACAGACTTTTCCTTCCAGCTCAGAATGCCTGGAGTGTCTTTTCTTACACAGCATTTCTGTCATACTCAGCCTCTTTTTCTCAACTCCCCTTTCTGTTTCCCATGAAATCACCTTATGGCCTTCAAGAAAAAGTTATATATCAAGTACCTGAAATATCCATGCTCTTGTTGATTTATACCAGCTTCACATGCTGGACTGGAAAGAGGACAGAGCCATATCCCAGAAAATGAAATTACCTTTCTGCTCCCCATTCACACCAGCTAACAGAGCATAAAAGATGTGGTAATTCCTCTCTCCGGGGTTCTGGTGTACCACTCTGTTCTGAAACAAAGAATACACGAGTAGCCAGTAGAAAGAGACCACACTTTCGGTTACAAAGACAAAGAGAACACCACGATACAGGAAAATCTCCAGGGCCAATGAACAAGAGGGGTTTCTTCCAGTCTAGTGACAGTGTTGTCTAAGCTCTACCTCAAAAACTTGTCATGTGTGGCAGTGCAACTGAGCACGTACAGACTTCTCTGAACTCAGTGCATGCACAGACAAACTGAACCTTGTCAGTTCTCTCCCTGCTCCTCAGTAAGTTCTTGAGTCCCAGGTAAACTACATCAGAGCAGAGATGTCTGCATGTGGAGTTGTACTCCCATATTCCTCTCTACGAAATCAAGTTTCCAGGTAGTTGTTCTCTCTCCCTTTCCCCTTGGTAGCTTCATGCACAGCATTTATCAAAGACTGGATGTCCTGGTTTCAGCCAGGATGGAGCTGGTTTTCTTCACAGAAGCTAGTGTGAGACTGTGTTTTGGATTTGGGATGAGAAACTGTTGATAACGTACTGATGTTTTGGGTTGTTGCTAAGCAGTCAAGGACAGTCCAGCTTCTTGTGCTGGCCTGCCAGCAAGCAGGCTGGGGGTGCATGGGGAGCTGGGAGGGGACACAGCTGGGACAGCTGACCCAGACTGGCCAAAGAGATATTCCCTACCATACGACGTCATGCCCAGTACATAAACTGGAGTTGGCTGGGGGGCGGCAATCCCTGCTCGGGGACGGGCTGTCAATTACTGGGTGGTAAGCAATTGCTGTATTGGGCATCACTTGTTCTTGTACATTCCTTTGTTGGTATTATCATTGTTGTTTCCGTCTCTCTTTCTGTCCTATTAAACTGTGGGGTTTTTTCCCTAATTCTCTCCCCCATCCCACTGTGGGAGGGGGAGTGAGTGAGTGGCTGCATGGTGCTTAGTTGCCGGCTGGGGCTAAACCACGACACTGTAGAACAGGCTGTGATAGATATGGAACAAACATTCTTCCTCCACCATTCTCTTCTTCAGTGAGACAGTTGCAGCAGTAACACCTAAAGAGATAATGTCTGTGTGCTGTGATGGACGCAGCATCATCCAGTAGGAGAACTGAGACTGCCCCATCATACTATGAGGAGAGGGCTCATACCTACCTTTTCCAGTAAATCTGAACAGCGTGTTAAGGAGAAAACATTCAAATGACATATGCACAGATCTCCTGATGACTGGCAAAGAATCTCCTAGACACATTGGGATGAACCCTGTAACAAGCAACAAATCATTAAATAACTGACACTTTGGGAAGCAGACAAAAAATGGTCCCAAACATAATCTCGGATCCCCCTCTCTGCTCCTTGTCCAAGGAGGTATTATGTGCCAGAGATATTTAAAAGGACAGGGTCAGATAGAGCATAGGACCTGCACAATGGTGAGGTAACCTAACAAAGGATTAGGGACACCTAAAAAGGTTAGAGAGGCCACTTTAATCTGAAAGTCTGTATTGCACACAGCAAGTCTTGCATCAGTTCTCATTCCTTCTGCAAGAGACCACTATCTTTAATCTACCAACAGCACAAAGAGCAGAGACTAAACAATTCAAGCCTGTTATTTACAACAGTAGTAAATTCATCTGGCTGCTACTCCAGTGGAAATTGGTATGGTTTGCAGTGACCAGCAGCTTTGAACATCAACATCAAGAAATGTAGCCCGGGCAGCTTTAGCTGCCTCACGTAGACAAAAGATATTTCAAAGCCTTTGAGAGAGGGGTATATGGGCATACAGAGAAGAAAGTGGTCATAGGCACAACATGATTCAACCATTTCCAGTCTTCCCTGTCCTTATTGTCACTGTACCAGGCTCCCCAGGGAAGTGGTCACAGCACCAAGCCTGTTTAGAGTTCAAGGAGCATCTGGACAATGCTCTTAGTCATATGATTTAGTTTTAGGTAGTCCTGTGAGGAGCAGGGAGTTGGACTTGATCTTTATGGGTCCCTTCCAACTCAAGATATTCTATGATTCGGGTTCCAAGGTCCACTGGAGACAGGCAGCCCAAAGCAGAGAGTCATAATTGGCCCTCTAACTTCCTGTTCTTCTCTGCATCCAAATATTGTGCAGAATACATTGATTCTTAGCTTGGTCTCACTTTTCTAAATCACAAATTCATTGGCAGAGCTAACATAAGGGAACAATCTTTGGGGAAAAACAGGGTGCAATCAACATGAGGGATATTCCCAAGCAGCATATTCTAGGGATTTATTTGTCAAGTGTTGTGATAGCCAAAGTGAAAAGTCAAATTATGTCGCTACCTAATGCAGTATCTAGACAAAAGGTTTCCAGAGTTAGGTGCTGCAGAGCCACAAAACAAACACTTCTTCCCTCTTTAAGTTGCAGATTTGCCCACAGTTATAAACTGGCTTTAATAAACTGTGACGAGGGATTTCCTGACCTGCTCTGAGCTCCTCCTCCTGTTCACCCACTCCACTGGTCTACTGCAGCAAAGGATACAATCAGTTACTCGGCCTCCCTGGATGTGTCCATGTTGAGAGAAGTGCAGCTGGATGAACTTGCCAAAGCGGCTAGAGTTGTTGTTATAAACTGTCTTGGCATTTCCAAAGGCCTCCAGAATGGGGCTGCAGAAACAAGGCAATGAAGATATGATTGGTGATGGGATACCATTAAAACAAAGGGTGTGCTCAGCCTTTTGCCATTTGCACAGTGTGCACTGCCATGTGAGATTAATTTGTTACAGCACCAGACTGGACAAGCAGGAAGAGCTCAAGGGCAAGGAATTGCAAGAGCAATTTAACACACAGCTAGATAAGTTTTAAACCTTTGGGATTGGATTTAATTAAATCAGTCCCAAGTCAGTCTGGGCAGCTGGCATTCACGCTGTCAAGGGCATTCCCCACCAGTGTGGCTTCAGGAAATGAAAGGTGGCAAGACCCAGCAAGGTTGTGTGCTTAACACAGCAGCATCCCAGGAAATGGGCTTGTATTTTTTCAGGGTTTTCAGAAACAATAGACATATAGGGCAAACACTCTGTAGCTTTAAACCACATACTTCTTTGTTTCTGCTTCTATGTTTGAAAAAGACGGCAGTATAAGTCACCTCTTAGACATAAATATTTTCAAACTAACAAACATAGTACTAAACTGATTTGTTTGGTACCAAAAATTGATACTGGAACACACAAACCCATGTTGTTACTTAAATCTTGCTTAGGTTGATACAAGCCACAAAGTTTCCAAGCAGAGGGAACATACACACACAGATTTGAAAACTTCAGTCTAAGAGAGCTACATGATCCACTTCAGGAAAAAAAAGTTGCAAAAAAAAAAAAAATCTATCAACAAACTTCAGACAGGTGATGAATTGAAGAATTCTGTCTCCTGGTCACCTTCCTGTCTTCAGGACATTCATAACAACATGGAAACTGGTGAGTTAATGTGCAGCTTGGTTCTTGCTCCACAGAACAGTACAAGGGAAAAGCCTAAACCATTCAAATTGACAGGCTGAATCCAGGATTAATATATTTATTTTTGCAATTTAGCCAATTCTAAAATAATCTGAAGGCCTGACAAGCAAGGAGTCACAGAAATGCTACAAGAACAGGCTATATGTGATCATGTTTCATTCTAACACACACATAGTTTTTAACAAAAACTACGGCAGTTATTACCCTGAGAAATACTAGCTCTTTAAACATCTCCATCAATCTACCATGCGGTTCCACGGGAGACAGGGGCAGATACAGGATTATTCACAAGTTAATAACTATAACACAACAAATAATCACAACTACAGATACCACTGGAGTTTTCTGAAAGCTTCAGGCCTTGCAAGCGTTAACTAACGGAGAGCTGTGGTTGTGGGAAATGTCCAAGAACCTTCAGGAAACTTCAGGCAGTATTTTCCTAATTTATCTCTTGAAAATAACACTTTAAACAAACAAAAGCATAGAAATGAAATTGCTCTGTTATAATACATGACAACCATAGAAAACCCAGCCACAGAAACCTGTGTGCAGAGATCAGGAGGTAAGTTCCCTGCCCTGGAGAATTTGAACTCCAAGACCCACGCCTCTGAAACAAGGATGTCAATAAGGACATTGCACAGGAATAGCCCACTGAGCACACCAACACCATGAATCAACAAAAATTAATGGGGACAAGCAGAAAAAGGAAGGACAGGGTTATGTTATATGACCATCGCAGTTGCAGTGAGAGTGCAGTAACCAGCCAGCCAATCTTTATGGCTCTAAATCATGTTAAATTAGATAAGCGAAGCACAAGGAAGTATCTTTATAGTTTAGTTTGGCAATGGGCTCACTCACAGGAGTGCCGAAGTCTTTCAGGGATGGGGGAGGAAATAGGCACGTGGGTGTCTGAGGCTGGTGGCAGATGCAAGGCAGAGGGGTGGGTGAGCTGATACAGCCAGGAATGAGGGCAGGTGCCTGGGCCAAGCAAACTGCCCATGCCAGCAGGCACGTCACAACGTGGCATTTGATGCAGCAGTGAACTGTGCATCAGGAAGGAGATGCTGGCTGCTCGGCTGGATGTGGGCAGGGTGTGTTGCAGGACTCAAGACGATGGGAACCAGTTTCAGCAGGGCAGCAGAAAGTGAATCCTGGATTTTAGAAATATTGCAACATATGCAGCTCCAGGAATCAGACAAATAGCTGTAGAAAAGAAAGAAGATTCAAAGAGTAGAGGGATGAGTAACAGGAGAGGTGGTTATGCTGTCAGCAGCATCACCCAACATGGAGAAGGGAGTTTCAGAGAGAAGCAAGAAAAAAAGCTGAAAGCAAAGTTAGAAGCATTTTTAATGGTCTGGTGGATATTTTCAAGAAGGAAAACAGACCAAATTAACAGCGCCAAGGGAGTTTTCAGAGCCTGGTTTCTGAGAAATACACCAAGCATGAATGTTACAACACACAAGTAAATGATAAAAAGCTGGCGTAACGCTTTGTTTATAATGCTGTCTGAAATGGAGAAAAAGCATTGTTCCTAGGTATGTGCTGGGGTGCAAGGATGAAAATCCCCCATAAGCTAACCTGAGGAGGGCCACGGGCAGAGCAAGCGAAGCTGTACTGCAAACGTATGAGGTAGACTTTAGGAGTGGCAGCAGCTCCTGGCTCTGGGCCAGGCCTTCAGCTTATCTTCTTCAGGGAAGAGATGACAAACCAAATTCTTTTGCATTCACATTGCAATAGCTCACGTAGCACTAGAGATGTACACAAAACCGGTCACGAGCTCTTACTCCACCTCACAGCTGTGGGATCTTGCAGACTCAGGAATCCACTACCTACCATTTTTGGATTGGATCACAGTCAAGTTACCACTTAATTACTAAGTGGGCTTGAGCCTTCTAAGCCACTCACCTTAAAGCAGATTTTGTGGATCTTGAGTCATGACCATATCACATTTAAGAGCTTTTTCCAATTTGACAATGTCCCACACCTGCAAAGGATGAATCATCCAACAAGAGTATCCTGAGCACCAGGTCCAAAGGCAGCAACCCTCCTGCTCAGTGCTGCTCTGCTCATAAGGATCCTAAAAACTGCAATGCTCTTGCAGCTGCCATGTTAGATACCACATGTCTGCTTAGCTATTTTCACCACAGTTACTAGCAGCTTTTTTGCGTCATCGTCTTCCAGGAAACATTCCTTTCTCTACTCTCTGGGCCCTGAAATATGCCACTTGCATGACAGTCACTTTTACACAGATGGTTCAAAGGATTCCAGTTTATTACACAACTAGATCCTGTTGCAGACATCCGATTTACTCATCTGCAGGTTTCTGCAACTATCACAGGCTCAAACTGGGACCAACCTGCAAGTTGGCAGTACAGTACCGAACTGCAAGACCTCAGTACAGTCCTCCAGGCACAGGCAAGACAGTCTTGCATTGGGAAATCTTTGTTTAATTTAATTTATTGCTTATTAAGAGAAACTTCTAATTGTGGATTCAGGTGTTAAGGAAAAGGAGGACACGAACAATAAAACAGACACTTAGGTAAACATCTTTCCTCCCTCTTCCCAAGGCTTAACTGAAGTCAAACATCTTTCTTAGCCTCAGCTTCCATTTTCACCTCAGGTTGCAACCAGTCTCTCGCGACTCCCCCCGTCAGGCAGCGGGCAGCGCAGGAGGCTGGGGTCCCACTTGTAACAGCTTCTTTCTGCTGCTCTTTGCTTCTTACTGGTTTTCCTCAGCTGCAGTTTGCTTCTTCAAGTTTCCTGACACTTTTTTTCCTTGGTGTTCCTGTTCCAGCACGGGTCACCTGTGGGCCATGGTCCTGTGGTGTCCCTGCCTTGGGGTGGGCCATGGTCCCTCAGGGGTGCCCCTGCCCTGGCATGGGTCATGGTCCCTCACGGGTGTCAGGACCTCCTTTGGCACAAAGGATCCCCCACAGAGCACGTCTCCATTCTCTCATGGTTGCCTGTTTCTTTCCCAAACACATTTGATCCGGGCGCCACGTGTTTTACCTTGGCAAGGTTTTGGTGGGCAGTGGTTGTCTCCCAGTGCCAGCTCCAGCCCAGCCCAGCTCTGAGCGGCTCAGGGCCTCCTGCCACACAGGCCCAGCTGCAGCCCCCAGGCAAACCTCGCCCGTGCCCCTTACAGCTCCCATGGACGTTTCTTCTTAAAATCACCTGCCTGGACAGCAAGAGAGCTGCAAGGTGGCCCACAGGACCTCCGAGGACAAGATGTACCCGCAACCTGAAACAAATGGAGGCTGGGGGAGAGCAGGGGCTAAAGGAGGAGACCAGGAGTCAGTGATGGAGACTCACCGCGAGCACAGCCACAGCTGAGAGCTGTGGGAGATGGGGGTGACCTGGGACAGCCATGTCTGTGTCAGGGAGGGAAGATACCCACGTCCCCTCCAGCCACTGCCACGAGAGACGTGGGCCTGGGAGCTGGAAAGAGGGACAGTGCAGTGATGTCCGGGTCAGCTCAAGGGTGCAGCTGGGCGGGCATGGAAAGTGAGCTACTGAAGGAAGGAGAAACCCCAGCCGTGGCCAGAGCACTAATTCCCCGGCTGCCACATGCACCCCATGCTGCTATTGGAAAGAAACCTAATTCAGTCATGGGCAGCTGGGAGAGTCACCAGCGTGAGGCGTCGCGGCAAGACCGCGACCTCTGCGTTTCCCTGACATCACGCCATGCACCTGTATGAGCCTCGCTGCCCAGGTTCGGCCCCATCCGTGGCCCAAATGCGGACACCATGAAGAAGGCAGTGCCCCTGCCAATGGTGGGCTGCCCCAGCACGCCAGCGCCCGCGGGCCTGCTGAGCCTCGGCGGGACAGGACACGTGGCACCCGTCGGGGTGACCATACCTGCTTTCCAGGATGGCTTCCTCCACACGAGTGCTCTTCTCAGACGCAGGGGCCCCGAGGGAGGTCTGGCTCATGGCTGACAGAAATTTCAGTAGCAACTTGGTGCTCTCAGTCTTTCCAGCTCCGCTTTCTCCGCTGTTAAAGAACAGATATACATTCCATTCACAAATCCAGGACAGACCGAGCTAATGGCCGTCCCACCTGCAGCAGAGAAGTGATCTCCAGGAATAAACACATAGCATCTCTACCGCGGCAAGCAGGGGTCAGGCAAAGGGAAGGGTAGGATGGTGTGGGTATTTAGGCAGATGTCATTGCAAACGGAGCAGCAGGAGCAAGGCGTGTAATGCAGTCAGGGAGTAGCCGGTTCTCCCATCTCTAACCTTATCAGAACACACTGGCTGTCATGACGCTTCCACAAGCAGCAGTAGCACTCATTAGCGGTGGCGAAGATATGGGGAGGCAGCTCACCCAGGCGGTGCTGTCTGTACAGGTCTATGGCATCCACACCGTACAGACCAGGGATGGGTTTGTAGGGATTTACTGATGCCAGGATGGAACCAATGTTTGTCTAGGGGGAGAAAACAAAACACAGCAAGGAAATAAAGCTCCTGGAAAAAAAAAAACAAAACACAACACGACAAACCCAGACCCTGAAATAAGTCATGGTCAAGGGAACAAGCCTAAATAAGGAGGTTGGGCTTCAGCTCCCCAGTTTGGCAAAGAATGCCAAACCCCAGGGCAGGGGCTGCACGACCGGGTATGAATGGAGCAGTTTCAATTTTGCTGCTTTACAATAAAATGTTCTTAGTCTGTTGTCTTTGCTAAATTAAAAACATGAAGCCATCTTCATACCCAGCTACCGCTTGAAGCTGAAAAGCGGAGCCAGGACTGAAGGAGTGTCAGGAGATAACTTCAGTGCCCCCATCCACAGTCTTAAGTGGAGGGGGCTTGGCAGGGTTCACGTACCCCCTGAACAAAGTGGTGGGACACAGAGACACACACATACATGTGTGCAAAAAGCCACTAAAGCGTATTGTTTTTCTTCTGCTGAAAAATGGTGTTTGGAGCAGCTTAAATCATTTTATAAGCCAAATCAAAATTGACAGCTGAAGATGAAGCTCAGGATTTCAAGTCAAAACATTTCTATGTTTTCTAAACATTTTATTTTGAAAATAACTATTTTGAAAATCTCACAGTTCAAGAAAAGAGTTAGTAAGGTTTGAAATAAAATACTCAAAGCCTAATATTGAATTTCAAACGTGTTCTTTTGTGAAGCCAGAAGGAAATTAATTTTGGGTTTTGGGGCATGACTTTTTCGGTTCAGCCAACCAGCTCAAATCCAGTTATTGTCAGAGCTGCAGTTGAGAGCAATGGTGCCACCTCTCTCCTAACAATGGCTTTGTAATATGGTCAACATCCAGCTTAAATCCTGCTGCTGGTGCAGTGGCCTCCTTCACAGGGTCACCTTGGGCTGCCCTGCTCCAGGAACACCCATTCTCAGCAGGGGTGACAGAGGAAACACTTAGATTGCTGCACGAGGTGCCAAGCTTTGTGGCCAGGGACAACATCTAGTTCCAAACCATGAACTACAAGTCACCACATACATATACAAGGATTTGCACGCATCCATTGGAGAAGCTGTAAACGAAACTCTTGCTGACAAGACAGACGCATGCTTTCTCCTTGCCAAAATGAAATCTGGGGCCATACTGCAATGCCAAGCTCTGAAGCCAGAAGCCAAACTAAGATGCTGTAGTCACCAAAATATTTAAGACTTATTTATTAAAACAGCAGTCACAGATCATCGGGGGGAAAAACCCATCACCTAGGCCTAACTGCATTATCAGTATGAACAGGCTAGCATGGAACAAGCCCTGAGGACCCTCTGACATGGGCCTTTGTGGGCAGAAATATAATTAATTGGTGATGAAAGCAATAAGCAAGCAGATGATCTTTGGCAAGACAGGTGGGAGGAAATGGGAAAGCATTGAGAGAGAAAACACGGATTGGGAAAAAGCACTGTACAACCATTTGAACAACAGACATTGTCCAGAGACTGCAAGACAGAGACGTCCATCCTAACACTTCTCCCAGACCTTCACAGCATTTTTTCCTCTCAGATGTTTTATTTTGCATTTCCCACTCTGGTTTCATCTCTGACAAGGAACAGAGCTTCTGCTGCAGTCCTCTCCAGAACTTCTTCCACTACAGCCATCTCTTTCAAAGGTGTTTCTAGGAAACTTTTCCATCTCCTGTTTGCAGTCTCCTCATCACCTGCAGTCCCTTATAGACAATTTCTATCCACAGTTTTTAATAGCAGTAGCATTTGTGCATCAACCATGTACATATCAGCCACTCTATTAGCAAGGACTCATTGTCCCCAAAGAACTCTGTAGAACAGGACAAGCCACAAGTGGCATGTCTACTTCTCGAGACAATAGATCCTTCTTGGGTGGGTATGCATGACAGAGCTAGGGACAGCACAAAATACATCACTCGCATTATGTTGGGTCTGCTTTTATTAAGGGATACAGGAATTACACTCTTAAATGCTGCAGGCTGTTGTGGTTCTCACATAATTTCCTTAAAGAGTTTGATAGGGCTTGAATAATATTTTTTGGAAAACAAAAGGTACTGTTGATATTATCAGTATTCCTGTAGCACATTAATTATGGGTACCACACCAGCCTAGATATACCACTACCTACACTCCCTGACCAGAAAGGATCCCCTTTAGGAGCTCATAGTAGGATGCCTCCAGGCTCAGAACTGCACTGCCCTTTTTCAAAGCAGCTGTCCACTTCATGTTCTCAGTTTTCCATCCCCTCATTATTTATTTGTATTATTACTTATTTATTATTATTTTTAATACTAGTTACCAGTATTCGAGGTTACCCATTCTTTCAGGTGAATTTATTTTCCAGAAAACGATACTTCTCACCTGTTTCTGATCTCTCCGATTTCCTTCCAAATATTTTTGGCACTGACTGACAGGCATAACTCCTCTCAGTACAGCTTCATCTGCAACCTTAGCCTACTACATTCGATCTGTGGAGACTGTTGAGCATGATATTAAATTAACTCAACCCCTGTAACATTCACAGTATTCACAGATCACTGCAAGTCATTAGGTGGCACTACAGCTGACATTCTCCATTTCTGCTTAACTGAAAGCTATGTGCAGCTGGGCTGTGGCAAAAACTAATAGTTAGTGATAAGGTAACTGCAACATTAATGTCTGCACTGCAAAAATGAAAAACAGCACTTGCGCAGTTTAGTGTCCTCCAGATCAGACATTGTGCAAACATAGACCCAGATACAATGGGACAGATACAGTCTCACCTCAAGGAGGGTTTCCTCCCAGTGCTGAGCATGTTACAAAAGTCAGGCCACTTCCTAAATCTCTCCAAAAAATCAAGATCTGAGGTGCACAGCTGACTTTGCACTATGCACAGGCAAAAAATGACATGTTTAAACTCTAACACCTTTACACACAGACAAAGAAAACACAGAACTAATGCTGATTAGGAGAAGGAATGACATAGAGCCACAGGAAAGGCTTAAGGAGGTATAGCTGCTGTAACACTGTCACAGCACTGGTGTTGTGGCATTTCTGGTGCAAGGCACAAGCTGAAAAGGGAGAGAATCCTGCCTGACATTTCAGAGCCTGAGGAAGAAGAAATGGAAGGAATATACCCAAATGGGCAAAGAGCTGCACAAACACATCGCACATGTCAAACACAGGTCAGGAAGAGCAGCAAGAAGGGCCATCAGAAGAGGGTGTGCATGTGGGTACTGCCACGGGGTCACAAGGCTGTGTTGATAGACAACAGGCAAGGGGGTCTACAGCAATAAAAAAGAGAATTTGCAGTCTCCTCTGCATCCCGGTGCAGGAGATGATTCAGAAATGGGGTCACTTTATTGATCATTTCCTGGAATACAGGTGCGTATGGTTTGGTTGCCTTGGTAACAGTTGCTATGCAACACAGAGATTTACATTTTTCCTGTCATAATCTGAAAAACTCTGGATGCACATAGCATGGACAAGCAAGGTAAGAGTAAAGCAACGTAAGGCAGTCTTTGTAATATATCCTCCTAGTCCTCTCCAAGTCTCGGCAGAGCACGCTGCCATGCCAGCACTCCAGGGATGCCTCGTCCCAGGTGTGCCTTTCCTCCCAAGTCCCCTTCCTGATGCTTGCTCCCTTCCTGAGGGAAATCAGGAGGTGCTTTGGAGTATTCACCTGAGCAGAACAACTCAAAAAAGGCACAACTGCATGTAAAAGCAGAAGAATTAGGCAACAAGTTTGCTTCCCTAGTTTTGTCAAACAGTAGCATTATCCACATCAGGAGGGGATACTCCACAACAACCTGTGTACATTGCACTTTCCAGTCTGCTTGGACATATAAAGCTCTGAACAGCAATAATGGGGAATGTGGGGAACGTGAATGCCAGCTTGTAAAACACAGATGGTCTTGGAGGACACAGAGCTGCACAATTACCACGAAGCCTAGAGGTAAACGTTCATGTTTTGGAAGTTCTTCTATAGATGCAAAGGGTCCCCGCTGGTAGGGGTAGGTTCTCACAGGGCCGATGGAGCTAGCAAGGCAGAAAAACCCTCCTCTTTTATCCACGTGAAACAATGCTAAGGAAACAATGCTAAAATCAGTATTTCACATGCAAAGTGGCAGCCCCGACACTAAACAAAAATCATCAGCCAGAAGGGATGTGGCCCAGCTTGAGCACTTACGTAGATGTTACCCTGTTGGTAGCGCTGGTGCAGGTTAAGCAGGATGGCAGCTTCATGCAGATCTCCCAGCATGGACATGTCTTCTACCCCATCAATGCTAGTCTGGTGCATTGGCAAGACCTTTTCTCTGGAAAGAGAGGCCTTGGGGTACTGGAATACCTGGAAGAATGGGGAGAAGGACAAATAAGCTCACGACACTTGGGCACATGGTCTGATTTCCTGCCAGAAACACGCCCCTTTCCACAGCATTCTTCAGCACCAGAAAAGGAAATATGTAAGGCACAGATCTGCTCCCTGTTTTTATAGTCATACTTCCATTCCTGGTCCTACCTATTTGAGGTCTCTGGCCAGAAACCACACAGCACACTCCCTTCTTTTGCTACAGGGTCATCTCTCACCTTCACTACTGACAGATCAATGCAAGGTTACTTCATTTTCACTGAAGTCCCCTTAGCAGGAGCAGGAGCAGGGCACCAGCCTCCAGCTGCACTAGGCTAGGCAGGTATTACACATTTCGCTCAGGGCTGTGAATAATGATTGCAGCTGCTCCCAAGAGACCAGGAACAGTCTTTCACAAAAACACAGGTGGGATCATGTCTCTGACTGTGGGGAGGCTTAGGCAAAGCTCATTCACATTCCAGACTTGGCCCTGCACTCTCCATAGGAGCAACCAGAGAGTGTCTTGGAGAGGTTGTCATGTCAAGAGCAAAGGAAAGGAAAGCAAATGAAAAGCCAAATAAAGTAGTGACATCCTGGGTGCATGCTGGCATGTATGTATACAATGCAGCTTTCAAAGTGTTTGTACAGTGATAGCTATTAACCTCTATCGCTGCTCTGGGAAGCGTGCTCTTCTCTCTTTATGTGGTTGCACTCTTTTTGCCTCAATTGCTGCATCCTTCTTCCTGCTAGAGCTTCCTCCTCCTCAGTAACCCACTCTTCAGCTATCAGGTCATCTTCTTCACCCCCTTTCAACACAGTTGAGATTATGTGACTGTTCCCCTCCACCATAGCCACATCCCAGCCCTCCCTTCCTCCTCCTCAAGCACGATGCTGGCATTTCACAAAAGTTATTTCAGTTGCTTCCCACTCTTGGATTCAACCATGTGCCATCTCCCGCCCAGCATCCCAAGCTGCGCTAGATGGTAAGACCCAAGATAGACAGATGGGAGACTTCATACAGGCAGCCTGGGGAAGGAAAGTGGCCCGCAGTAACCCTTCCAAAGAAACCTGGGCTTTTCCTTCCCTTCTGAGGCTCTGGTCTCTACCTCATTTACATCCCTGCTTGTCAACCCTCCCAGGTACCAGGAGGAAACTGATGGACTCCATGATCTATAGCGTTGATCTAAGTGGTTTCTCCTGCCTGCTTTCCTGGAGTCCTCGGGCTGCCGTAACTGCTGGGGAGAGGCCATCCACACAGCTGCAGGCTGAAGACAGAATGAGGTCGCCCGGCCCCCTCCAGCGAGCTACCCGTGCGAGTGCCTTGCAGGGCGCTCACTGCTGCAAGCGCATTGCAGGTGCCCAGCACACACCGCTTCTCAGCTCTGAGCCCACTCCCTTGCCAGCGCGGGGAAGGAACAACCTGGCACAGAATGCCTTTCCGAGACCCGCACAATGGCTGAAAAAGCCTGCACAATCGAAACGGCAGCTCTGTTCCTGGAGGGAGCCGGGGAGGAGAAGCGGGCTCATTTCCCCAGATGTGTTCTCCCCAGGTCTGCCCAGTCACACCTAATGTCACACGGACTTGGTCCCTTCTACCGGGAGACTGCCCCACAGCCCAATTCTCTCGCCAGCCAGGAGGCTTTTCAAAATACATAGTTTGTGTTCACAAGCAGCACAGAACTAAGCCCACTCCAGCACACAGGCTCTCTCCAGGCCTCCCTGGTCTTCTCCACTTGGGTGCCAGAGAGGCATGACTCTGGGAGCAGCAGGACCCCACTCAGAAAGCATGGCCAAAAAAACCCACATCAATTTTTAATTTTTTTTTTTTTTTCTTCAGAGCAGAGGCCTCAGGCACTTCCACAAGAGAACTGAGGGAGCAGGAAGGGAGAATGGGACAGCTAAATTCAGCTGAGAGTACAAGCTGCAGATGCACAACATGAACTGGACTCTGTCAGGAGCAAAACCACTGCAGCACTTTCAAGCCATGACGGAGCAAACCGTCCTGGCTCTCTCTTCTCTGCTGACTTGGACAAATTTTGGAACGGGACAAGTCCAAAACGGTATCATGGGATCTTTCCTTACATCTGCCTGGTGCTTACTCATTTACCGCTGCATTGTCAGCACTTGTGGCTATTTGGGCCAGAAGAGAAACATTAAAAAAATCTTGGGAAAAAGCTGAGTGGACAAGTGTCCCAAAAGATATTAGGTGTTGGCAACACCTATGCCAAGCGGCTGCTATGCATGAAAAATAACTATGTGATGGGTCAGAGCTTGTTTACTTGCTCTTGTAGACAACACAGGAGAAAATGGGACCCTGAAGAGCAACAGGGGCTCTAAATACCCAAGTAAATTATTAGCAGGGATTAGATCATCTCCTGTGAAACCTGTCTTGAGCTGCCTGATTTGGGTTATTCAGTCATCCCTCTCTAAAAAAAAATCTGGTCCAAGATCCTCAAAGAGTTAAGCAGGTGCTCCAGCAGAACTGCAGCAAAGGTGGATTAGGAGCACTGGCTCTGGTACCCTCTGGAGAGAAACACTGCACACGTGAAATGTACTGCCTGGAGGCACAGTCTGATGCCACGTTGACAGCCTAGCCAAGGCAAAGGTGTCACCAGTCTGTCCCTGAGGCTGGGGAGGTTCACTGAATACCTTTGCTCATCACTGTACTGCTAGCAGCTCACCCTCCCTCAGCGTGAGCTCCCTCCCTCACCCTCCACTGAGATTTGGGAGGTGAGGTCTCTCTGCCTCTGGAAGGACATGCAGGAGAGGTTTCAGGCCTTCCCTGGCACTGGGAGAGCGCTGACTTTTAATCTGTCATCTGCCCTCCAGGTAGAGACAAGTTTCCAGTCTGTATCACCAACAGGCTGCAGGCAGCATCCAGGGTCCTGGAGATAAACATGTGGTGGTTTTTTGTTCCCAAGATTGCATCAAAAGGCTTTCCCTGAGGAGCCCTGAGGTGAGACACAAACATGACCCAGACATGATGACCCTTCAACCCTTAGAGCCTGCAAGGTGCTGCACTGATCCAGGCCAGCCAGGCTCTTTCCCACCTCCAGCCAGCCCAGTAAAGAGGTTCTTGTTACCCCACTGCTCGCTTCTGGATGCCTCCAACAACGTGCAAGAGCAGTTTGGAGGAACATCCCCCTCACCACCTGCTCCAGGTAAAGTGAGCCAATCTGACTTCAGCAGCTTGCACTACTGAGCTGAATATCCTGGCTGGTTTTGCCTGAAGCAAGTGAGAACACAGACAACCTCATCTCTCAGCAGACCTGCCTCTGGAATAGCCCTTTTCCAACAAGGTAATACTTAAACAGAAAGTTACAGGCATTAATAAGCAGATCTTTATTGTTTGGGAAGAAAATCCATCAGGTTTCAGTCTAGCTACAAACAAGCCATCAAATACCACGCAGGCACCTCACAACACAGCCAAATGTTTCTACTTTCTCCCCAGTGGTGAACTGATTGTCTCAAATTTAGCCCACGGTCAGAACAAAACAACCAGGACTCTCTCCAAGCCCCTGCAATGGTCAGAAATAAAGCAAAATCTGGCTGGCAGACAAGCCAATATGAGGATTGCCAACCAAGCCAGGCTGAGCAGGGGAGAACTGATTCCTCCTCAATCTCAAATCCATCCATTAGTGCAACCCTGAGCACATGAGCAAAGCTCCCACCCAGCATCTAAGTTATGTTTATCCATAAAGCATTTGGCTGGTCTGTCTGGACTGTGGTTTCCAATCCTGCGTTTCATAAGCGTTGGCTCCTCCTTTCCTCCCAGGAAGTCACATTTCTGATGGATTTGTTGCCTGAGGTGTTTTTAAGGAAGTGAAAACAAATGGCAATTTGAATCGGCCTTCTTACCTCAGAGCTGCAAGAACTGCAGGGATGCTGAGCCACAGCAAACACGAGGACACTAGATTTAGGGATCCTAAAATCAGGGGCATCAACTGGCCCATCCAACCCAAAGCAAAGTGAAGATGTTTTCATCTGAGTTTTCACCTGGGGTCTGTCCTACAGTTGTCAAGCAATGGAGGCAGCAGGTGAGGGAAGCACACAGGACAGCTGTTGTGGAGGCCACTGAATAAAGCAAGCCCTCTAATGATCACCGTGTGATTTTTCTGCATAAGCCATAAAGCACATACTCCTTCAGCCTGATGGTTTCTTCTTTCATGGAGGAAAAACCCAAATCCATCTGTTTTTAGACCTCCACCCATCATTATCCTGTGCACTTTTTCTAGCACAGACACAGACAGGTGGTGGGTGCACCCGCCCAACTGGCTCTGTGGTGGGATTTCTGGTGTCCTTTCAGACGTGCCAGGTGGGTTTGGACAATTTTCCAAGGCCACAGCAGCATATCAGAGGAGACAGGATCAAGCCTGGGAGAGTCACAGAGGTACTCACTATTTGTTGATGCTCTGCAGGCTGCTGCATTACCTGTGAGGAATGTGTCCGGGATCTCTTAAAATGAGTTAGTGACTACAAAGCACTCCCAACACAAGGCAGCTCCTCAAGAAAGGATTTGAGAGACTAGAGTAAGCAGATGGAAAATCTGTCTGTCTGCTTAGGTGAGTTTCTGTCTCTGAGTAACAAATTAGGCTCTGTAAAGAGGAATGATGATTTGAGACCTAGCCCTTTCAAAGCAAGACTGAAAAATACGGCAGTCCTACCACTGACCCTCCACAAGCTGGAGTCCTAAATCCCCTTTTCCCCTGTGCTCTCCTTTGTTCGCCAGGTAAGAGGCTGAAAAAAAACCTGCCCAGTTTTCTGTAACGAAGCAGCTGCCTGCAGAGCACCTTTCACCAAAAGAGCTGAGCAGATCTGATTGCTCACTGCTGGAAGGCACAGTCCTGCTCATTGCCCCATCCTCCTCCCAGCCCAGGCACCAGGGTGACTCACTAAGAACCTCAGTGAAGGCAAGGAATAGTCTTCCCAGAGTTAGGGAGCTGACTTGACTCACTGAGGACTTGGGTGATCCCCAAGAGGTCCCTTGCTACCAGTATTACTCCACGAGCACTGCAGCAGGCATGCCAGGGAACCACAAGGAACACAGGGCTGGAAATAAGGTGGGGAGAAGACCCGATCCCTATCATTGGCAGAGAGCTGTGCTTTCAGAGGACCTCAGCTGCCTTGTTGAGCTCTCCTATGAATAGCTGCTGCACCTACACTGCTGCCTGACATGGGGAGCTCATCTCCATGTGCCCCTGACCAAAGGGCTGATGGCAAAAGCTGCTGAAGCAGACAGTGGTGAGCACAACAGCCCTTAGAGCAGCATGGCTTGCAAGAAGCACATCCGGGCAGAAAGGGCTGCTTAGCTGGTGGAGCTGCCTCCTTCCTGGGTGCATTTTGCCAATATAATGGTTTTGCAGGGCTATTAATGCAACTCCTTCAAAGATGGCACAAGAAAAACCATGCAAAGTGAGATGAGCAGACAAATGAACAGAAGAAAGAGAAAACAATTTTCTTTTTTAACCTTCATTAGACTATTTAGCAGGGTTTGTAACAGAGCCGGGCCACTTTTCAGACAGAGTTGCAGCATTTCAATTGACACATTTCATTTTAACATAGAAGTCATGCAAGACCAAGAAGTCCATCTTGCATCTTGGCATAGGCTAGAGCCTCATGCAAAACTTCACTTACCGTGCCATAATCTGAGGTGAAGAGCACGTTTCCATTGGCACATGAGCCAACAGTACATGGCTGCAGCTGGTCCTGCTCCCGCAGCCATACCCTGGCACCCTGCAGAAACCAGAAGACCTCCCGTTAGACAGAGCAGGAGCCTGCGAGATCTGCATATGGGGTGCAAACACCCAAGGAACACTTCTAGGGATGGGGCATCCACAGCTTCTCTGGACAACCTTTTCCATGAGAGGAAGAAAAATCTGTTTTAATCAGCTTCACATGGAAACCAACATAAGAAAACATCAATTTTTATAGGAAGAGTCATGGAAAGATACAAACACACAGAATAGCGGGTTCAACTGTCCAAATATTTTCAAACTTAGAATAGCCGGTCATTAAGTCATGCTGTAATAATAATAGAAAATGTAAATAAAGCATGTTTACAATTTCATACACCCACACATCATTGTAGGTCAAAGTGCTTCAAGAAATCAGCAGCAGCAGCTAAGTAGACTTCACAGAGCTTTGTTTGCCTCTCCTGCAAGACCTTCCTTGGGTAAATGACTTGACTTGCATGTTTCCCTGCTGTATATATGTATGATGGCCCTGATGTATATGTAGTTTCACACACACACTGCAAGATCTTAAATTGCTCAGTGTCTCTCAAGACAACCCTGAGCACAAAGGCAAACTTCTGGTAACACATATGCAGGGATCTGCAGGGCAAGCAGGTCTCATAGCTAGTCTACCAAAAAAGTGCAGGGGAAATCACTTTGCTCTTCTGCTTTGCCTGGCGGTGGGACCTGGTACACGGGAAAGAGCAGGAGCATGAAGGCAGATCAGGGAGAGCATGACCTGCAGTTACGCAGAATCAGGCATAACGTCACGCTGCGTTTCAGTTATTGCAACCTAATGTGTTCCATGTCTTTCCATAGAAATCACATAAACTCTGCTTAGGTAAGTATTGAGAAAAAGCCAAAGTGCTGAACTGTTGAGTAACATTAAGGCCATCCTGCTTTTTAATCGATTTGTAGACCTACTTTTTTTCCTAATTTGTTTTCTGCCCCCAAGTTATTGATTATAAAAGCCCTTCCTATCCTCTTAAACCCGTCAGCACCATTAGCTCTTTGCTTATAGACTTATTATATTTGAAGAGATGCAATAGCATTTCTATATTACATTATCCAGAATGTGGAACACTAATTCTATTTTTAATGATTTGTTTTAGTTTAGGTGGGTTTTTTTAAACTACTTCAGTCACTTTAAACACTTTAGTACCCTGGATTTTCCTTACTGTAGAAGATATGTCTATTGGCCAACCTCCAGTCCTCCCAATAAAGGAACTGGTTTTAATGACATTTTTAAAAGCTTACATAATTCCACCTTTGCTGCTGTGTTCTGCTCTAGAGTTTCCACAGCAGGCGGATTGAATTCCCCTCACCAACTGAATGAAAAGCACCAGTGCATCTGGTCGGTACCTAAACCCAAGAATAGTGTGCGAAGATCACCCTCATGGCCAATGAGCACTAGCAATAGAAAGAATCATTTTCTTATGTTGCATATTCAAGTTTCAGATTCCAGAGAGCTGGTAAGCAATGCATTGAATACAGTGTTTGAGGAACTATAGTAGAGCTCTTCATGACATCCTCTTACATTTTCCAAAACTCTTGATGCGCGAGACAAAGTGTCCCGAGGCATTTGGGCAAGACATCGCCGTTGAGAAATCATCCACTTCCCAAATCACATTCTGACAATTCTGCACAAGCCTACGAACAGCAACATGTGTTACCAAATGATCTTTATGCTATTTTCACCAAAGACTCCTACTGGTACCATGATACCATGGTATCAAGAGCAAAGAGTCAGAAAACAGAAGTTGTGTCTGGAGTTCCCAACAGACAGCGGGGTGAAAGAAAACATTTTCTGATACACTTACTGTAAACACCCGCTCCCAACAGTGCATTTCAAAGCCTTCAGACACCAGTAACCCAGGGGCACATAGATGAGAGCCGCGGGCAAGCGCAGCTTAGTCAGGAGCCAGGCCTGCGCGCTCCCACGCGCACTGCACCCGATCCACGGCACACACCGGCATTAGGAGCGTGCCATGCTCACAGAACCCTACGTGGTCGGTCCCTGCAGACCGGGGGGTCCAGGTGACACACAATTTCCACTCCCTGAGCTTAGAAACCAGTTTGGAGGCAGAGGCAGCTGATAATGTGACACGCAAGAGACACTCCACAGGCATGAACACTGTTATTTGTTAAGTACCATTTAGAGGGAAAAAGGGGGGAGATGGACAATGAGATCCCTCTGGTATCTTCGACACCGAGAAATTATCCGAAAGTCCAGACTGACCCAGACCCCTTGCCCAGCAGAAGTCCATGTGCAAAAGTAGTAACAAATACTCCCAAAAGGAGACCCAGTTCTTTTGTACAATATTGCACCATTTCCTACGGACTTACGGCAGATCCTTCTGTGTGCTGCGAAGGAGTAGAAGGCAACACAATGAAGCTCTCGGGCACTGTGGCATTTCAGCTGCCCAGAACCACTTACTTTAGTTTACTTTGATGTTGTAGCTGTTTTTACAACAGCAATTGCCTCTGCCCAGTAAAATAACTGCACCCATTACGTTGTTTCCAAAAGGAACATCATGCTGAGCCAGCCAGAATAGGAACCACAGAGTAAATAATTGTAACTTCTGCCCAGCATAGCCCTCATTTCCTGAAAGGCCGAGTTTGCTTTAGTGCATCTCCTTCCATCAGCCCTTTTTCCTAAACATGAAATTCCCCAAGGAGGCCTTGACTAAACACAGGAACAGATGGTGACACCAAAGAGACTGCCCTCACATCACTCCCCTCTCCCCCAATAACACGCATTTCATTGATCAGTTGAAAGGATTAAATTGAGCAGAAAACTTCCAAAAACTGCCAGGCAGCAAGGCTGAGCTTCCATGGGAGAAGCAAGGGCAGCGAAGCGGAGCACAGCCCAGCACTGCAGAGCTCCGGGGGGTCCCAGCTCCCGCAGGCACCACAGAGGACGATACGGTTAACTTAAGCCCCTTATATAATGAGAATAGCTCACCCCCTCCCAATTCTTCTTTTAACTAGGAGTTTATTAGGGAGATTGTTTTGTTTTTAAGTGGAGCAACAAGAGCAGGTACTGAAAGAAAGAATAAAGTAGTAAAGTACCAGAGCTCCTGTATCAAGGGTAGGTCACCCAGACGCTAAATGAACTCTGAGAGACCAGCATCCTCATTCCTGTGCCCACAGTGACAATCTGGCCGTGAACTGACCTTGCCACAAAGTGCATAGCAAAGCACAATCCTGAAAACTGATCCCATAGCATGGGGTTATAATTTAGAAAATAAAGTTGCTTGCATACCAAGAGTACTGTTTCCTCAGTACTGCCTCACTGTGCTGTCTTCCACTGTGGACAGTAAACTCTAGGATGCCATTTTCCTCTGTTCACATAACACCTGGCACTCTGGGGTCCTAGACTTGCATATAAATAACATTTCCTAGCGAGAAATCAATTGAAGCAATAGATTTCTTTGGCATTCTGCACCTTCTTTTGGAGTGACTGGTAGCAGGAGCTCTCTCTTGCATTCACACACCTGTATCTCAGCAGATGCCGTATACTGTGCCAGCAGGGAGAGGATAAGGGAGATCTTGTACGCTGTACCCCAGGGAAAGGGCGCAGAGGCAGACGAGCGGCACCCAACCCTTACTGCAGAAGCAAAGCACCCAGGCGCTAAAGCAGAACCTGTGGAGCTACCAGTGGGTGCACCCTTCTCATCGCCTACCCAGCTACTGAAGGCAAAGAGAATGGCAGAGGACAAGACTCAGAACTCTGTACCTGCAGGTGCCTTTGCCTCTCCGGAGCCTCCCAGCGCAGCAGGAGACATGCTCAGGGATTGACATGAGCAAGCCACTGCTCTGCCACTGTACCACACTTCAGAAACAAGTCATCATATCCTGCTCTCCTCTTACTTGTGTAGTCTGGACTACCCTGGAATCTTCATGTTCGCCCAGGACCTCCTCTCTCTTCTGGAAACTGCTGCTTCTCATATGCAAGCGAGAACAAGCTTCCCCAGCTGTGCAGGATTTTAGAAGACAGGCAGTAGTGCTGCCTCGCTCTGACAGCTCTCACATGCCCCATTCCTCCTTGTGCACAAACCTGCACAACTCCCAGCAGTAGCATGCTCCACAAGGACTACAACCATGATGGGTGCATTAATTTTCCAGAAGTTATTCAGAGAGAAAAAGTGCTTTTGGTTGGAAGACACCTGAAAGGTGCACACAACTGCCCTCTCTGTTTCCAATATGGGAGCGTTTTGGTGATGTTTTCGTTGTGAATGAACATGGCACTCTCAGTCTCCAGACCTACCAGCAAACATAATACTAGGAGAGCCTCTTGCAGTGCCTCGGTTTGGGTAACTGTCCCCAGTCACTGCTGCAGCCATTCTGCAAGGGGCAGAAATATCTCAAAAATAGACTCCTCTGCACTGTGAGTCCGAGTCAAAAATTGCTGTTGGTGCTTGAAGTTTTTTAATCTATAAGTATTGTGTATATACATACCTTTGTCCTCCTGGCACACTGAGGCTGTTCGATGGGTATTAGGCATCCAAGCCTTGTGTTCTTCCTGGCGATGGATCCATACGCTCCCAGGCTCGGAAGCAGCATCGCGCTAAGCCAGCCCCCTTCCCAGCCTCAGTGGGCTTTGTGGTTGTAAAGCATGCAGCAGAGAATGGGCTAGAAAGGCCCTTGCAATCCAGACAAAGCCAGGATCGGGTTTCAATAAATGCACTTTTCAACAGAATGATCTAGATGATCATGAATAAGTGATAGGACAGATATAAAGAGACTTTGGCTAATGGATACAAGATTGGTGGGGAGGGGGAGTCCCTGACACCCTAGACCCTTGTGGGAAGGAATGCAACCTCGCTTTTTTTCTGGTGTCAGTCTGAAATAAAGCCATACAGCCAGTCCTTGGGTTATACCTGATCAGCAAAACCTGGACCAGCTGCTGGAAGGGCGGGGGCAGCCCAGGAGGCCACAGGTAAGGAGAGAGACGGAAGCAAGAACAGCTGAACTGGCAGCAGCCAACATGGAGCAGCT